AACCAATGTCTCCAACGTTACAATCTCATCATCACCAACCAGCTGGAACATGTGCATTGGCAAGTGTCAGCAGTATCGTGAGGTACGTGTCAGAGTCCGCGATCCGTCGCGCGATTCGCGAAATCGCAAGTGCCCCATTTGAACATTTGAAACACTGAATATGAAACAAGTAGAATCATGAACAGTCGTCATTCAACCATCACCATCAAGCAGAAATGGCGGCGGGATTGGAGAGCACCTCGCAGTATTGATCGGGCACTTGTGATTTCTGTGATCCGTCGCGCGATTCGCGCGAATAGCGCGACGGATCGCGGACTCTGACACCAGCCCAAAGGATACGGTTATCGTAACGTGGCGTACCTTTGGTTGAAATGGTAGCAACAAATCGTTAACAGTTCTGCGAAACTTATGATATGATCCTCGAAGTTCTTTCAGCTCCTCATGAAGCACAAACATATAGTCGAATGGATGCGCTTCCGAAGGTAACCTTGAGAAAAGAAAAGGCAATTGATACAACTTGCAAAAACTATTTCAAGTAAACTAGAGGAAAAAATCTTTAATCAACATACTTTTTCAAAATGGCCAAGTTCGTCATGGGAAACAACTCTTTTAATTCATGAAAGGCAGAAGTGTGAGAAAGGCCTTCCAGCATGATGATATAGGACATACCCATCGCATCAAACTGCAAAATAAGAAGAAAATTACTGAGAAGTGTGCAACAAATTTCGAATTTCCTATGTCAATTTTACAAGTGGAGAACATGGGTAGATGCACGACGAGCAAATCGGTCCTTTTGCCCTTCAGCTACAAGGCAGAGTCAGTGGACGTGTCGCAGCGCGTACTGTTGTGATTTCGCGTCAAGTTGAATACCATTGTACGTCCTACATCGCACATCACGCGCTGCGACTCGTCCGCTAACTCTGCCTTGTTGCCACGCGACGGGCCTCCTGGCGGGTATTAGGGAGATCTTCCGAGGTGTAAAGCACTTTTTCAAAACCGTTTTCTGTTTGTTATGCTAGTAGCTCGCGAGTGGACTACAAAACCCGGGTCCATTTTCGTTGAGCGTAGGGAGGGATCAAAAAGTGTAAAGGAGTGTCCAAAGTTCAATTCGCTGTCGATGACAAAGTTTTTTTAAGGTTAGAGCTTCCGAGATCTGCTCGAAATAGCGCCAGCGCCACCAGTAGGCGTTATATACATTATCAGGGTCACTAGTAAACCCTTTGCTTAATTTTGATCAGATTCGCTTTATATGAACGACTGCTAAGCAAATTATTTTTTTTTTTTTTTTTTTTTTTTTTTTTTTTTTTTTTTTTTTTTTTTTTTTTTTTTTTTTTTTTTTTTTTTTTTTTTTTTTTTTTTTTTTTTTTTTTTCCTTTTTCCATTCACTGGAAATGGACCTTAGTTTTGTAGCCGACGTGAGAACCCCTGCAAAAAACCGTCTTGAAAATAGAGCTAAAACACAGTCTGAAGAATCTTACTTGTTAGGTAAAACTTGCTACTTTCAAGTATAAGAAGCTGCTTCTTTTTCATGCTAGCACCAATGTAATGACACTAATTTTAGCAAGAAGATGTCGGGGTCCAACATCATTTAAGGATTCTTGTGGAAATTACAAATTTTCGCGGCTGTTTCGAACTTTCTATTGGACGAGAAACCATTTGCCTTGATCCTGAAGACAGAACAATTGTTTTGGAACAAAGAAAAAATCAACAATTTCCGCATGGAGCTCTAATTTTTTGGCTTTACAATAGGACTTGTGCGTTTTAACACAAGGATGCACTTTTCTGGAAACGCCGCGCTGACGCCAGTCAACGACATAAAATTGAACCAATCTCAAAACTTACATTTAAAATCCAGTCTTCTCCACGAAATTTCCATCGCGCACCACTTTCGCTTAACTCGAATGAAAGCCGCGACTTCAGCTCGTACGTAATGCTGATGACGTTCACGCGGTGCAAGCTCCGATACCCGCTGCCTTGTAAATTTTCGCCTCCTCGAAATCATTTTGCATGTCCCTCAGGTTGCTGAAAACACAATTTGTAGAGGAAGACCGAGGAGCAGAATGTGGAAACACTAGACACTCCATATTAGATATAGGTGCCTCTCCCAACTCGAATACGAAAGTTAGTGCGAATGGGCAGCATAAAGAACAAAGAGACAACGCGTAGAAAAACTTAGGTTGAGACTTGTCAAGCTTGTAATGTGGGCAGTGCTAAGTGCATTAACCCTTTGACGATAGCCGTTATGCATGCGTCACTTCACTTCTTTTCACGTTTTTTTTTTCGTTTTTCGTATTCGATAATGTATATGTGTAGTTTTGAAACACACGTAAATAGCTAAGATAAACAGAAAAACGATCGCACTGAGCGAAAGTGTTGCCTTTTTCACCGGCCGGTCCACACGGTCGTTAGAATTTGGTTGAGAGATCTTTATAGTGTGTGATAGGAGAAGAAGCAGAGAGCGCAACTAAATTAATGGCTAGTTACTAGCAGCTCCTGTTAGTGTATATCGACGAGCATTGCAGCGGTTGTGCAGCTATACTACAAGGGAAGGCATGGTTAGTGTGTTCGAAGTGCCGTTGAAATGAATGGATACACCTCCTATGTCTCTCTGAAGCGCTGCTTCTCCATATCGCCTCAAATCTGCTAAAACGACTCTCCGAACGGAGTTATGAAGCGTAATAGCTCAGTGGTGATGGTCGGGGTGGCAGGTAAAAGCTCGTAGGATCGGTTCCTTTGCAAATTGGTTGCTTTGCTTTTGTCTCTAGAAGTGTTGCGGACAAAAGCAAAGCAACAAACTTGCAAAGGAACCGATCCTACGAGCTTTTACCTGCCACCCCGGACCATCACCACTGAGCTATTACGCTTCATAACTCCGTTCGGAGAGCCGTTTAGCAGATTTGGAAGGCAGATTTGGAATCAGCGTCTAGAGACGCATCAGGTGGTATACATCTCATTTTATACGGCCACTTCGACCTACCATCCTTTCCTTGTTAGCTAACTGTCGCCCTTGTCGAGCGATCTCCATGCACGGGACTGCCACACTGTGACTCTGCGCTAAATAACCCTGCCTTACAACCGTAGGCACAGTTGTTTAGCACGACTTCCTACATGCGTTGTGCTTATTACAGCAAACTAGGTTGCGATAAAGCAGTGAAAATATTCATATCCTTAGTTCCAACCATAGTCATGATTTGTATTGAAGGTTTTATTTATCACTGCTAACGCAAGTTTCGCCACTCACTCTAATTCATTCGAAAATCGGACGCATTTAAAAACACTAATCGCTATGATTTCAAGACGCAACGCCTGCCAGTTTTCAAGCTCCTCTCCGTTTCCCCCCTCCCACTCTAGAACAAGTCAACGCCCTAATGAATGAATACTATAGCACATTCGCGACACGATTTTTTCTATTATGTGGGACGGGCGCGATTTTGACGACGTCGTCACCTCACCCATCAATCCGTAAATTTTGTGAAATGAACGAAAACACACAATCGCAAGTAAATTCAGTAATCTATAAGATGTTAATCATTCTTATGACAAAAATATGCACAAGGTCACAACAAGCGTGGTAGGCGATTATTAAGTGGCAGCCCATATTGGCTGCCACCGGCGTAAATGTGTTAATGGTACCGGCGGTACAAGAGCCACTGAAGCGCAAGACAGAGCTCACCACCATATTTTCTACAGCCTCCAAGAACAAGAAAAACAATCAAGTTTTGATAAAAAAAATACCTTGCGATGTGAAGGATCTGTAGGGCGTCAA